ATTAGGCAATTTTTTATTTCTCCATCTCCATGGTAATAAATGGCATTTTGACACTTTTGAAAGTCAATAATTAACACCGCTTTGACTCATTTTTTAATTAAATTTAAAGCTAGAAAAAATGTTGTGAAAATGTCAACTTTAAATTTTCTAAATCTCAATTTTTAAAATTTTAAATCAATAAAATTTATTAAAAGGTTTAGGAAAAAGTTAACATTTGTTGAGTTTTCAGAAATTGATCATGATAGTCGTTTGTTGTGGGATTGAAAGAATAATCATTATTAGTAGGCCAACCTAATGGAATTAGGAAGCCAAACTAGGGTCAATTACCAAGGAAATTATTTTTTTCAATTTTCTTGTATAGAAGAATATATAATGTGTTTATGGTTTGTTATTATTTTTAAACTATATATGATGGGACGAACAATTCTACTTGCTTACATAAATTTAACTATCCTATTTCAGGATATATTCGTTGGTGGGAGTGACACAGCATCAATAGTAATAGAATGGGCAATGTCAGAAATGATGAAAAACCCTAGAGTGATGAAGAAGGCACAAGCAGAGGTGAGACAGGCCTTTAATGACAAGAAAATTATCGATGAACCCAGCCTTCATGCGTTAAAATACTTAAACCTAATTATAAAAGAAACCTTAAGGTTGCACCCTCCTGGTCCATTACTCATGCTAAGAGAAGCTCGAGAGAGGGCAGAGATTGATGGATATGAAATACCAGCAAAAACCCAAGTTATTCTCAATGCATGGGCCATTGGAAGAGATCCTCAATACTGGACTGAACCAGAGAGATTCTATCCAGAACGATTTCTTGAGAGTTCCATTAGTTACCGAGGAACACATTTTGAATATATTCCTTTTGGCTCTGGAAGAAGGGTGTGTCCTGGAATTTCATATGGTATGGCCATTGTTGAGGTTACACTAGCAAATTTGCTGTACCATTTTGATTGGAAACTTTCCAGTGGAATGGTGCACGAAAATCTAGACATGGATGAAGCCTTTGGTATTGCAGTTAGAAGAAAAAATAATTTGTGCTTGATTCCCATTCCTTACCGTTCTACGCCTTGTGAATAAATAAATAAAAACAGTAACATTCTGTATACTGAGTGTTTATTTCATATATTATATCCATATTTTGCATTGTTCAATGGCGAATCTATATATATATATATATATATATATATATATATATTTTTTTTTTTTTTTTTTTTTTTTTTGATAAGCGGATATACATTAATTATTAGTTTAGTTATTAGTATTAGAAAAAGAAAGAATCGAGCTTAATACCTTCTATGATAGAAAATTATTTTGACCATCTTCTATATGAAATATAAATAAATTCAATTCATAGCATTAGAAAAAATTAATTTCTTTATTGGTACCAAAGTATCAGTACTAATAAATTAGAATTCTATATATATGTATATATACATTTTGTGTTGAGCAAATCTTAAAAATAGTACTATCCAACTATATAGGTACCTAGTCTCAATATCACTATCAAATAAGTTTTTACATCAATTTTATCCTTAAATTTTTAGAAATTTTCAATTAGAAACTTTCATATGTTCTTAAGACTTTCGTTCATATTTCTACTTAAATTATATTTAAAAAAAAAAAAAAAAGCAACTTCATTTTGTAGGGACTTGGCACATATACGATGTTTTCAAATGTGTGTTTGGGTTGCCTTACTCACAAAACCGTATGGCTTACAATGTTGGGCTGATCAAATACTGGGGCTTACTTAAAAAGTAGGCGTCTTCCGGTGCAGTGATTGTAGGTCTCTCGACATCTTAAATTGGGCCAGAATAATCTCTTATTCGGTAAAACTTTAAAGACCCAAATTAAAGCGTACTTGTTATAGTTTTACAAACTAGATTTGCGCTACGCCGCGGATTTTTTTTTTTTTTTTTTTAATGTAAATATATCTTTATGGTCAGGATATTTAGAATTGTAATAGAATTTTTTTTTTTTTTTATCTAATGTAATTGCAAAGTTAATGAGGAGTACAAATAGAGTAATACAAAAATTCAGCAGGCATATGCCATTAAAAAAAAATGTTTAATACAAAAAACACGTGAATTAAGTTTTCGTTGGCATATATTGCTGAATCCAATATTAGTAAATAAAACATTTTGTTTAGGAACAAAGCATGTAAGTAACAGCATATGTCGAAAAATGGCTATTCTTTGTCTACTTCTCCTTCCCCTTCATCCAATTCTTCCCTATCATCGTTAAAGGAATGGACTGCAATAAAATCATGTTCGAAACTTCGGTTGTTAAGTATGCAACGACGTACTTTGAAAATCTTCATTTTGTCGATGAATTCAAGAAACAGTGGTGGAATGATATTCTTTTTGTTCGTAGAGCATTTCTCAACAAGTTATGTTAAATAATTGTACAGCAGGTTCATAGTCGATAATTATCGTTGTCAAGACTGTACCATCAAAAATAGCACATATGATGTTGTGTTTGAAATAGACAAATTTAAACATTTTTATTTTTGTGAAAAATAATGAACTGGGGAGAAAATATTTGATAGACAAAGCAGTAGCATGAAATTATAAATAACATAGGATGGTTTGGGTGAACGAACTTTCGCACCGGGTGCCTAATCACTATTGGATGCTTTGGGCAAGAGTAGTGTTGTGAATGTTCCGTAACCTCCTTTCCACAAATACCACTATGGATTTGATTCTTCTAAGCTGTTTATAGCAGCTCTAAAAGTGTAGGAATACTGCAGTGCAAGACAACTATAAGAAATGGAAGAAAGTTGCTAAATAATGTGTTGATTTGATTGTTTCATTTATTTATTTATTTATTTATTATTATTGGAACAACTAGCAAATACTGGATAGATTTGTATGTGTGATAAAAGGGAGAATGGAAATTGCTGCTGGTGAACATGTGCATTGCCAATAGAGAGGCACAAAGCAAACTTGAGATGGCTGTCCTGTTTTCATTTTTCAAATCCTGGGATGTCATGATGTTGCGAAAACACAACAAAAAAATTGAATTGGAAAATGAAAAACAAAATATATTATAATCTTTTATGAAATAGTAAATGCATGGATATGGTTGGAACATAAACTTGAGGAACGCCTTTAGTAAAATAATGGTCGAATGACATTATAGATTCTCGGATAAATGTAATTGTCAAAGTAAGTTTAAATACTTTGGCAAATAAAATTAAAATAGCATGATGGAACGTAATTAAATCTAAATTTTTAGCTCGAATGGAAAAAATAATGCAATAGCAAGGAGTGGTATATTATTAGAGAATAATGTTGAAGACTAAAAGGATGATTACAATTATTATCAATTATAACGGTTTGCAAATTATGCAGAGAAGGCACATGAAAGTAGCAGCTCAAATTATCCAGTTCCTTCAGCTGATTGAGGAAAGAAATTGTAGAAATTTTTTGGGAAAAAAAAATTTATATTTGCAGTTGTTAGTTTTTAGTAACGGCTGGATTGAAAAATGAGAAAAGAGAAAGCTGTGTGGGTGTGTTTGTGCTTTGTGCCAATTGTATATATGTACAGTTGAATGGGAAAATGAGGTCGTTGTGTATGTCTTTTTTGTTTTTTTTTTAAAAAATATAGTGGGTGGGTAAGTATTGGACATGAAAATTAACTTAGCGACTATTTGGTAGCTAAATTAACTTTGGAAGAGAGATGTATTGCTTGAGTAGGATTTTAAGAAATTAGCTCTTATATGAAAAAGGTATGCAATATTATATATGTTTTTTGAGTTTAAAAAATAAAACTTAAACACTTGACGAGTTAACGTTTATATTATATAGATGGAGATATAATCAACATGCATTGAGTATAAAGTAAATTGATTTTTTTCTTTTCAACAACTTTGGGCATACATATAAAAGTTTATGATCTTTTTAATTGATGATCATTGTCTAACTATACATCTTAGTTATGTTTGGTAATGAGACGATAAAGACATTTGACGAAATCATATCTTCACTAAATATATTTTATTTTTATTTTTTTATATTTTTTTAACAAGCGAAGGAAATGGGTTTTTTTTTTTTTTTTTTTTTTTTTGAGGTCGTTTGTCTACCTTGATTACCCAAGTTTTGTCCGGTTATGATGTCCGTTAACAGGTTTTGGAAATTATCTTGTTCGAGGCTATTTTATCCGTTAACAGCATTGTAATCCCCCTCCTCAAGTACATGTTTTTTCCTGAATTTTGACCAAAACTTGCATCAATCTCCCATTTGAGTCCCGAAATTGTTAATAAACTCTGAAATTTTTACGTTTGATAATATGATTTTGCTTACTATAAATAATTAAATATCATCAACGTTATAAATCACTACAATTAAATGACATTTTATGAAATTAAATAATATATTAAATTAAATATCTTCAAAACTAGTTTAAAAAATTAAATAATTAATTTCTAAAATAATAAAAACTAATTAATTTAATTTTTGAAAATAAAAAAAAAACTAATTTATAATTTACTTCCAAGTTGACATTATAAATCACTACAATTTGTGTCTCACAAAAATCCCCATGGTGGCATCGTCTGCACCAATGTGCTGATGGATCCCAATGGACTAAATAGATCCAAAGAACATTCCCTCCCTATCTATTATATAATGGTCCCTATCTACCCTTTTTTTACTTTTTAACCCTTTTATCATCAGAAGTGGACCCCTAACCCAACGCAAATTCAATGATTACTCACCCCCACGTGTCGTTCATGAAAAAATCAACGGTTTGATTTCCTTCCAAGTGACCCCCATGCACACAGCAGCACCAGCACTAGTTCTCACAAATTCCTCAGGATAAATCCAAAAAATGTGAGATGCATATCCCCATACAACTCTATTTCAATATAGTGGCCATTTTTTAACATCAACATTCTTCTTTTTCGTATTTTTATCGGCCTATATATAGCGGTCTTGTTCCTCTATTTCTATTACACACCACATTTGGAGACAACACCAATAAATATAATTAGCATGTCTGTCATACTCTCATCGGACCCGGACCTCCGGTTACCCTTGCTACCTTCTTTAGAAGAGCCGGCGGGGAAACCCGGGCAGGGACCGGAACTTCGGAAGCTAACAATAGATGACATGTTACAAAGACACTGTGGTGAATTTGGGACATGGCAATTACGTCACTTTGTGTTAACATGTTTGGCTTGGGCGCTTGAGGCCTTCCATACTATGGTGATGATCTTTGCAGACCGGGAACCGGACTATAGGTGTTATGGGCCGGGTTGTGACGAGGGGGCTACGAGTGTTTGTGGGTTCGAACCGGGGTCGTGGGATTGGGTTGGTGGTGCTGGGAGCTCCACGGTGGCTCAGTGGGGGTTGGTTTGTGGAGAGAAATATAAGGTTGGGTTGGTTCAGGCTGTGTTCTTTGGTGGCTGCATGATCGGTGAGTTTGTCTCTATATTTATTTTTCTTTTTTTAAGTGCAATATGTTTTTTTTTCTTTTTTTCTACCTTGACAACTATTATTATTATTATTTCCTTTAAAAGAATACACAGAGTTAGTAGCGGAACGGTAATAGGATTTCAAATAACATTCATATTTTTAAACTTTAGTTGAAATCAAATTTACCTTTTAATGGACTCTAATCAGAGTAATGGTCTTTGATAAGATAATTAGTTCAGTTTTTGGTCCAATAAGTTCGATACTAGAGTTTATCGCTGGTGATTTAATGTTCCAGCAAGGGAAACTATTTAATGTTGCAAGTAGGGAAAAAATTGAGTAGAAGACGACAATGTAGATTGAGATTGGGTTGATTAGCTTATAATAATCTTAAAATATAGTAGTAATCACATGTTAATCTATGTTAAGTTTGTATTATTGCAATTATTTATATGTTAATGTCATGGGTTTACACGAATCATGATCAGCCAACTTGGACCCAATTTCTTAGGGTAAACTAATTAATTCCTTGAATCATAATACTGCCCAAAATATTAGAAAGACTTTTATTTTGTTTTCTTGTCTGTATCTGTCCTCACAAAGACTTGAGGCTCTCTCTGTCTTTCTATAGTCTTGTCGATTTAAGTCTCTTTCTTCAGTCAGAGTATTTGTCGTTTAGCTAGAGGAGATGGATTTGAAGTGGAAGACAACCAAACATAGCAGGCTGTATGTGGTCTCAATCCTCAGCTTCTAAAGTGTCTTCGGTACGCTTTTTTTTTTTCAATCCTCCAAGATAAAGATATCTTATTTCTAGAAATGTAGGCTAATTTTTTATTGTTTTATCGAGTTTATAAGATAAAGACAGCTATTCAGATATTTTTTTCTTTATATATAAATATTTAAAATTAAAATCATTTATTTAAATAATTAAAATTCATTTCATTCAAGCCAACCTTCTTGGGTTTTGATCCACTCCTTTTAGAACATACAAACGTTTTCATTAGTTTCGTGCGCTTGGTAATGTGCAAGTGGTAAAATAGAACAGTTTTGATATAAAAATGTTGAATTTTACTTTAACTTCAAAAGGATGTTAGAAAATTAGTAAAAGTGCATTACTTTAACCACGTGAAGTGGGTTTTTTTTTTTTTTTATGGAATTTATTTTGTTCTATATTATTCTTTTGTGATTTTTTAACTGAACTTTGCAATTTGCAATTTGTTAGAAGCAATTTTTGAATGAAGACAACATTCGATAACTGATTGGTCTCCAAAGGTAATATACAAGAAAGCCACATTTGGTCACAAAATGCAGGCACCTTTGTGCCAAAAAGTCATTGCAAAAAGGGGAAGGCCTCCATAAACTTTAGTATGAGATCCTTTTTGCTTAACTAGAAGAATTCATAAATCATATTAACACACAAAAAAAAAAAAAAAAAAATGATATATTTTTCGATGCCAAGGGGGGAACGGGCCAGTTGGTTACAAAAGGGAGTCTTATGGTGACACTGTGGCTGATGACTTTACTGCTTTTCTGTCACAAGAAAATCACATTATAAGCTACAATGATGCTGAAGATAACCAGTTTGAACATCTTTTACTTTCTTTTCTTTCTATACTTGTCGGAGTTCGCGTCCCTTGGTACTTTTCATCATATATCTATCTTTCTGGCTCTTTTTTCCCTCACTTTATGAATTTCTCGATACCTTTTAACATATTCTCTGGAAACTAGACCATGTGCAATGTCGTATCCTACCGCACTTAATACACCATGTGTAATGCTGTGATCCTACCACACTTTTTTCTATATTTTCAGATGTGGGGTCATTAACATGACATTACATTAAAGTCTCCACCATGTGTTCTCACACAATTATCAATTCGTCACCTGATACGCATGTGAGGTTGTTAAAAAATGAGAAAGGTTACAAATGTGAGAGAAAAAGTCATGCCTTTTGCTAGCTAGGTTTGCTCATGATTCATCAAGAGGACATAATGTAGCCAACGCATTCTACCTTCTTTGTCATGTGAATTTGGTAGTCAGGCTTGCTTTGTTTTTTTTTTTTTTTTTTTTAAATCAATAATATCTAGAGGATTGAAGCAAGTTGTGGTTGTAATTTAACTTATATACATATATGAATCGACAAACAGAGCTGGATTTTTACGAGTTCAAGATGGAGTGTCAGTGTTTTCTCTAAAATATTTGAGATATAAAGAGTTAAGAAAGTAAAAGTGGATTTCTAGTTAAGGTATAACTGAACTGTTGAACTAAGAAAATTTATCTACATGTCCTAGAATGAAATCACAAGTTCACAGGTTTTAAAGATCGGTTGCTGACTTGCCAACCATCAGCCTATATGTACGTGGAAGATGAAATTTTCCTACGTCATTCATAAGACCTTACTGGAAATTTTCTATTGAGGCTGTGCCAAGTAAATACCCAAAAATCATAGCTCAAGAATCTCAACTTTTCAAATATTATGTAAATTAAATAATTTATGAACTAATGAAAATTAAATCAAGATTTTTAGTGATAAATGTTATCTTGAATTTTCAGGTGCAGGAGTATTTGGACATCTCTCGGACTCCATGCTAGGAAGAAAAGGCTCTTTAAATGTAGTATGCTTGCTAAATGCCTTGTTTGGTTGCTTAACAGCATTTGCCCCAGACTACTGGACCTATCTCCTACTTCGTCTGCTCACCGGTTTCAGCACTGGTGGCGTTGGCCTCTGCGCCTTTGTTCTTGCCACTGAGCCAATAGGACCTGCAAAACGTGGTGCGGCTGGCATGTCTACATTCTATTTTTTCTCAACTGGAATAGCCATACTCTCAGGTATAGCTTACATTTTTCGTTCTTGGCGGGCACTGTACCTTGCCTCGTCTATCCCCTCCATCCTGTTCCTTGTCATTGTTCTTCCTTGCATCTCTGAGTCCCCACGTTGGTACCTTGTTCGTGGGAGGATCAATGAAGCAATGAATTTAATGCGGACCATTGCTAAATCTAATGGAAAACACCTTCCTGATGGAGTTATTTTGGCCCTTGACGAAGATGTAAATGAAAGTTCTGTCAATGAACAAAGTGACAAGCAAGAAACTGCAACAAAAGAAGCAATAACAGGTTCTGTAATTGATGTAATTCGCTCCCCGATCACCCGTATTCGTTTGTTTTTAGCAGTAGTCATTAACTTCATGTGCTCAGTTGTCTATTATGGCCTTAGCTTAAACGTTGTCAACCTTGATACCAACCTTTACCTCAATGTGCTGCTCAATGCCGTGGCTGAAATGCCAGCATTTCTTATAACAGCACTTTTGTTGGACGTGTTTGGAAGGAAACCATTGACAATTGGGACTCTATGGTTCAGTGGCATTTTCTGCTTTGCTGGGTGTTTGACGGGAGGTGTTGGGATATGGAAAGTGGTGAAGATGATTTGTGGAGTTTTGGGTATTTTTGGGATGGCTGGGACTTATAATTTGCTGTTTATATACACAGCAGAGTTATTTCCTACAGTTGTTAGAAATGTAGCTCTTGGTTGTGCAACACAAGCAGCACAAATGGGGGCAATATTGGCACCCTTTATCGTGGTTTTGGGAGGTTCATTACCATTTGCAATTTTCGCAGTTTGTGGTTTGGCCGGAGGATTACTTGCGTTTTTCCTGCCAGAGACGTTAAATCGGCCACTCTATGACACGATCTCTGGAATGAAGGAAGGAGAAGGTGTGTAAAGGTTTTGTAAGTTTTGCAATTTTGTCATCTCAGCTTCATTGGATATTTGGATAAGCATGTGAGATTTTGTTTCTAAGAGCTTCGCTGCCGCCCATCTTCCCCGACATTCCTCGGTCCCCTCTTTTGTTATGTTATGCAGAAAGCAATCTCATCACTAGTTGAAGCATAGAAAAGTAAAACCAGTGAGATATCAATGAAATGGAAGCAAAATCATGGTCATTATGATCATGAATGTGTGTCTATTAGACCTGAATCTTTTCTTCCTTCTATGACTGACTTGAGATGGTTTCTTATCTGTTAAAGACAGATTTGGCATCAAAATCTAAGGCGCTTAAATCTGTTTAACCTTACATAAGAAATCTGTTTAATGTCCATGTTATGAGACAACACTCTCATCTGGTCATCATACAGTACTTGCATGAATTTGAAGCTCCATTACTAAAGAGATGCAAATGAGTTTAATATTAATGAAACAGACCATCATGAGACATCACACCAATTCTCTAATGAGAAGCAAATACCTAACTGACAAGCTTATATCAGTCAAAAATCCTCTCCCCAGTTGAAAATAGCAAGAACAGGATAGAACTGACAATGCAGAGCAACCCTGGTATGAGAAACACTGCAGTCCAGCTTTCAGGATTTGAAAGTTCCATATGAGCAGCTTTAGCTGCTTCAAGAAGCTTGCCAGTGAAAGCAACTCCAATAACTCCAGCTAAAGTTCCAGCAGTATTAGAAATTCCCATCACTATTCCTGCATATCTTGGAGCTATATCCATGTGATTCACTGCAAACCCAGCTCTACCCAAAGCCAAAAAACCAAGAGACAATGCAGAGCAAAATACAGCCCCGCCAGAAGTTGTAAAGAAAGGAAGTCCTATCAGTGCAAGAGAAGCAACTATAAAGCCGAAAGTGTTCAAGAATTTCCGGGTTTTAGTGACAGACAAGACTCTCTTGGAGATCAAATGATCAGCAATGACCCCACCAATATTTGAGAAGATAAACATATTTAGGTAAGGCATCATTTTGGAAGAACCCATATCTTGAAGACCAAGCTGGAGACCCAATTCAAAATAAGTTGGCAGCCAACTTATTAGAACATAAAAAGCATAGTGGAATGTGAAATTATTAATCACAATAGCCCAAATTGGAAGACTAACAAAAAGTCTCTTCCAAGGGATTGTAACAGTCCTTAAAAGAACCTCCTTCGTTTTCTTTGATTGGCAAAAAAGAGTCCCCGGAACCTGCAGCAGTTGCTCTTGGATGTTCAAGCCTTGGAGGGTCGGTACCATAAATGAACCAAAGCAAGGACCATATAGCACCTAATGCTGCTTCAGCGAGAAATGCATGTTGAGGGCCTTTATACTTCACCAGACTAGGAAGTATAAGCGTTGCTATAGCTGCACCAAGGTACATACCAGACGTTGTGAGAGAAACAGATCGAGATCTTTCCTGAGGAGGAACCCACTGGGCTAAAACATTGTGGATCGAGGGGAAAATGAATCCTTGCACCACACCAACAAGAATTCGGGAGATTACTAGGATGGTAGTAGGATTAGCTTCTAATGGGACTAAAAAACAGATTGATGACCATAGCATGAACGAGACGAGGAGAACACGCCTGCCCCCTATTCTCTGAGCTAACCATCCTCCTGGAATTTGCGAACAAGCATAACCACAATAGAATGTAGTAAGTACTATGCCTTTGTTTGATTGATTTACACCAGCAGCATCAGCAGCAGAAGTGTATGCAATTGAGAAGCCTACGCGTTCTATGTAGAAAACAGTAGTGCTGATGAAAGTTAGAATGACAATCGTGTAACGCGTAGAAAATCTCATGGATCCCTTTCTAGTTTCTACCTTCAATTATTGCCTACAGAGTACTTCACAGCCCAACTCTATTGAAACCCCTTCAACCGCTTAATTTCCAGGTACAGAGCTTCGGTCACTGTAATTCCCGTGACAAAATAAAGAGATGTCAGGGAAAACCTGGAAATATCAGAGTTAGTCTTTTTATCAATATATAAAGCATCATGTGTAGAGTTTATCTAAAAATTGCAGAAAAGTACGCCTATCAGAAAGAGCAAGGGCTACTGAGCATTTGATTCATGTAGTAGATTTGGTAAATTCTATGAATTGCAATTTGGAAGAACACAATGGAAAAGTCATCAGGCAATCACCAAAAGAGGCTGTTTTGTAATATAGGGAATGGGATTTCTAGCTGAGTTGGTTTAAAAGTAAAAACATATCAATTCAGAGATTGCAGAGCAGCCAAATCCAAGTAAAATAAATAAATAAACTAGGCTTTGAATCCGTTAACAATTTTGAAACAAGCAAATCAATATTTCACATTTTGTATATCGATCATGGTAAATGAAAAATAAACTACAAATTATCTAATTCTATGGTAAACAAACATGATTTTGGAAATTGACCAGAGAATTTAAAGCTTACTTAATTTCCTTAATCCAAGCCTTAAAGGTAGCATGCGCTGTTTAAATGCACCTACTTTGCCTTCTTTCTTCTTCTTCTTTTTGGTCTTTTGTACTAGGTTGAAGGCATCTGCTGCTGCTACACAGTAAAAAGGGTCAGGTTCGTTTTTTCGTTTCATAGTGGCAGAAAAAACAATTGACCAAAGTGATGTTGAAACTGTTAAGACTGACTTTCACTAAGAGATGGCATATTTAAATTTCTAACTCTAAAAAGGGAGGTAAGGTTATGGTGGATTCCCAAATCCTAAGAGGCTAACAAAGATGGGGCAGCATTTAAGATTTTATAAGGGTAGCTCAAAGCCCATCAAACCTTCTCTTGAAAAAAAAAAAACCACCAGGTGCATTTCAGTTTTGTCTATGACAAGTACTCTATCTCAATAGTTAAAACATTGCAAACTAATTTGTTTTTTTTTTTTTTTTTTTCCATTTGGTAGGCTTCTTATATCTGGTAATTGGTTCTTTTCATTTGAGTTTATGTGACATTCAATTCATGTACAAGTTAGCACTATTCGATAGTTTAAATCAAAAAGTTACATCGAATTGAAGATTTCAGATCGGTTTTTGTCAAATTTTTTTTTGTTTTGAAACCGAACCAAATTTAATTCAATCATTGATTTCGGTTCAATTTTTAAAATTTTTTATTTGATTTTTACTGAAAACATATATAATAAAATTATTTGGGTTAAAAAAACCAAAAAACTACCTATTAGTTCAACCCTTCACTACCAAAAAAAAGAAGGTAAATAGCGATGAATATATCGATCATTAAAACTAACATTTATGTCACTATTTAGGTCTAGTGATAGAAACAAACAACAAGTAAAATGCTTGTCGCTAAGTTTGTTAGCGATGGATTAATTAGTCCATCGCTATTTTGAGGTATTTCCATTGCTATTTCTTGTAAACATTTGTATGAATGATTTGAATTCCATCACTATATAGATACAAAAATCAGTTGCAAATTTCGGTCGCTAGTCGTCATCGATATCCATCGCTTAAATTAAGTTTTTTTCTCTAGTATTCGTCACTAATTTTCATCGCTAATAGTTAAATATTTATTTTTTTATTTTTGTTGTTGGGATGTCGCTAAATTTAGATTTTTTTAAAAAAAATCGTTAAAAGGCTTTTAAATATTTTATCGTAGTAGCCATCAACTAAAATTAAAATCATAAAAAAATATATTATTAAATAAATATAAAATCAAATGTCATTTATATACAATACGGTATACAAACACTTTAAAAAAAAAATTTTTAAAAAAAAAACACACTAGTCCTTATTAAGATCACTTGCTACTTCGTAACACCTCCGACCTAGGACCTAAATAAGTTAAAAATATTACCTTCATGCCTCACAATGAATGTAAGACACAAGGCATTGTGTCTTTCTTACTATATTATTAATTATGGTTTTTGTTACAAAAGCCCATTAAATGATTAATAGGTCCAACTTTACTTATAAATTTCATAACATTCGGAACAAAATGCACTATTAAATTTTTCTATCTTAACATTTTATTTTAATAGTTTAGACTGAAATAAATTGATCTTTGTCTCTTAGTATCGTCATATTTTGTTTCTATAAGTCAAAATAAATTTACCTAGCTGATACCTTTTAATTGATAGTTTACTATTTTTCCTTCTTTAATTGTCGTCTTTTATAAGGATTATTAAGTCACTTATTCCTATTTTTTCTTTATTATTTTCATGTTCACTTGATTATCCATATTATCATCGACAAGTAGCATATAAGTATTAAACTAGTAGAAACTACAACTATACACTACTATTTTATTACATAATTAGCATGCCCAAAATTGGTTGATGTGTCTACAACCTACTTTCCTTTTACATGATAACTAGTTTACTACCCCACTATTTGCCAAAAGTGGTTTTACATAATTACAAGTCTACTTTTTCTTTATCGACTAACCGTCTAAACCCGTTTACCTATTCATTACCTTTATCATCATATAAAATAACGTAGCCATACCTAGTACATATATCGAATACTAAGAATTAACGACGATAATCACATACAACGAGTCTAACTTACAGATCACGTGTGAGATACACTCAACGAAGAGACAAGAGAGTTCCTTCGAGTGACAAGCTCTAGTGAGAAAATAACCATTATTCTTTGTTCTTCACCCCTACATCACAAGAACTCGGGTGAGCTATTTGTTACGCCCTACTTAAAAGAGAGATTTTTCTAAAGGATTTTTGAAACACTAGATAAGTCCGAAAGCTTCTAGAAGAGTATGGAGCAATGAAAAAGCCTCTAGGATGTCCAAGAGAAATCTAGACATATCCTAGAAAATTCTAGATAGCCCTTCTTATTCTAACTTATGCATATTTAGATAGTTCCTTGTAAATATCTAGATATGATATTTTAGATAATCAATTGTAGCCATTGGATCAAATAGATCCTAGCCATCAATTGAGGAGGTGGAGGACTATAAATAGATGAGGCCTTCATTTGGCCAAGACATCTAGACATTTATAAATCTAATCTTTGAGTTGTAAGCTTTAGAGAGAGCTTGGAAAAGCTAAATCCGTGACAAGTGGTATTGGAGCCGAGTTTTATAAAGTGTGAGTAAGCTTGCAGCTAGCTAAGTGTTCAAAGAGTAAAAATGTCTAACTCTAGTGTTGAGAATGTTACTTGGAGATGTTAGGAAGGAGACTCTACCTCCTCAACTTAAGAAAGGAAGGGAGAAGTCTCGTGATATGTTGGTTGCCTTGGAGGAGCTCGCTCGTGAGGGCGGAGGAACACTTTGCTTGAATTCAAAGAGAGACTCGAAGAGATAGAAGTAGATGATTTAAGGGAGACACTAGGCATGGTAAACCTACATGAGGTGCTCTCCGATCTCCAAGCTTGAGTGGAAATAGTTGAGAGGTGTGTCAAAGAGAACGCTACCGAAAAGGATGCTTTCGTGGAATGGACGAAGGAAATCTTCAAGCAACATCAATAAACTATGACTAGGTATGAGCAAACTCTTAAACAACTTAGAAGAGATTGGGTAAATTTTTGAAAAGCTATCTCTAATGGTGTGGTCTTGAGGGACACGCCAAAAGTTGAAGTGCCAAGACTAAGGCACCATGCCGGCAAATAAGATGTCAAGGAAGTCGATAACTTCTTTTGGCAAGTGGAGCAATATTTCAAAGCAAAATGTATTTCAAACAAATTATATATATTAATCATGCTACTATAATTTAAAAATTATCCGAATCTATTTTTCAAAAGAAAAAATAATCATGTTCTAAAAATTTAGAATCCATACATATAGAAAAATAAATTAAAATTTTTAGTAAATATAATTTTAAATTAATTGGATGAGAATTAAAAAAAAATGACAAATTAAAGTAGTAAATTTTAAATAATAAAAATAATTAACAAAAAAGACTAAAATAAAATAGGATCAAATCATAATAAAATTAAAGTTTGAAATTAAAAAAAAATTTTTGAGGACTATATAATTTTAAATTAATTGGATGAGAATTTTTTTTTAAAAAAATACAAATTAAATAAAATTAACTAAAAAAAGTTTTATAAAGCTTTAGTATTTCATAAGATTGTGTCGAAAAAAATAAAAATTATTAATAGCTGAAATTTAATTGAAAAAATAATTTTTTATTATTATTTAATGATGATGAGAATATCAATATTTGGAAAAAATATGAATTTAATTTTTATATATTTATTTAGAAAAGAATGAATAACATTAAAATAATTCAAAACTATCATGGAATAAAATTTTAAATTAATTGGATGAGAATTTGAAAAAAAAATAAAAAATTAAAGTAGTAAATTTTAAATAATAAAAATAATCAACAAAAAACACTAAAACAAAATGGGATCAAATACAATACAATTAAAGTTTTAAATTAAAAAAAAAATTGTATAAACAATTTGAGGACCATATAATTTTAAATTAATTGGATGAGAATTTAAAAATAAAATAAAAAATTAAAATAGTAAATTTTAAATAATAAAAATAATCAACACAAAACACTAAAACAAAATGGGACTAAATCATAATACAATTAAAATTGAAACAAAAAAAGTATAAAAAAATTGTCGACCAAAGTGTAACAAAACGTCATGATTAGTGAAAGGTATAGTGATTTGTGAGTGTATGACCAATATTTAAAATAGTAACCATGCGTTTTGTTTTAGTTTGTTTGGTAATAATAATCAGCCCTTGAATCTTGGAACGTGTCTTCCATGTCATTGAAATTTGCCTAACAAATTATCATTTAATAAAACCCAAAACTAAAGACTATAAACAACATTGGAACTCTCTAGCTAACTGATTTGGTCTAGAAATCTAGATGTTCCCTTCGATCG